AAGTTATGTGGTAAACCAGAACTTATCAATAACGCATTCATCATCTCTTTCAACGTTCGATTCTTTCTCTCCGCAATTCCATTAGATTGTGGAGAGTAGGGGGCAATTATTTGGTGAATAATGTCATTTTCCAAACATACTTCTTCAAAAGGAGATTCATATTCGCCACCCCTTGAGTCTTATATCTTATTCGCGAGAATTTCTTCTCTCCGGTCTTGTCTCCTCACTAAGTGGCTGCACACACCTGTCTTACAGATAGAGTCAAGCACGAGACGGGTATTTACTTGTTCTTTTTAGCATGTGCTAGCTAAAGGGTATCTGCGGTTGAATTCATTGTTTTGCTGGTCGTATCACTTCTTATCATTTTGATCTTTTGTTTAGTTGTGTTTCAACTTCACTCTTGTATTGCTTGAAAGCTTCAATTGCCTCATCTTTACTATTAAGTAAATAAACATAGTAATATCTCGTGTTATCGTCAATAAAAGTAATAAAATACTTTTTCCCACCGTGAGATGGTGTTGACTTCATGTCGCAAATATCTGTGTGAATTAAGTCTAAAGGACTTGAATTCCTTTCAACGGACTTATAAGGATGCTTAGCATACCTTGATTCTACACATATTTGACAATTGGAATTAATGCAATCAAATTTTGGCAATACTTCTAAATTTATCATTTTTTGCAATGTTTTGAAGTTGACGTGACCTAAGCGTGAATGCCATAAAGTATTTGACTCAAGTAAGTAAGAAGAAACATTAACTTTATTGATAGGAACTGCTATTACATTTAGCTTAAAAAGTCCCTCATTCAGGTAACCTTTTCCTACATACATATCATTCTTACTTAGTACAACACTATTAAAAACGAAAATACATTTGAATCCATTCTTGACAAGAAGTGAGGTAGACACAAGATTCTTGCGAATTTCTGGAACATGGAGAACTTGGTTTAGAGTCACTATTTTTCCCGACGTCATCTTCAACGCAATCTTGCCAAACCAAACATACAACATGTAACAATGGTGAAGTTTTTATATACTTCAAACCCGTACGTTTATTATTCCAGTAAAGTTTTGATATACTTTAAACCGGACAGAATAATTATTGGAGTAGAAAACACGAAGGCTTTAGTCTCCAAACCAGTATATGAAATATAGATAACAGTTTATAATATATATTTCAACACAGAAACGTTAGATAAAATTCCTTAAGCTTGTAATCCGCACTGTGTTAAAACACAAAATCAGAAAACTGTTAGAAGAATAAAAGAAACTGGAAAACAGTAAAGAATAAGAAATATTTCGAGTTCACAATTTGCTTGTGCGTCCTTAAGGAATTTTAACCCCCTCACACGTTGCCAAGGTAATGGATTAAATCCTCCCAGGATGAAACGGAATAAACCTTCCTGCAACAGTGGCAATACAAACTGCAGGATACCAACGAACTCAAAAAAAACGGTGCAAAATCACACTTACGAATTTGAGAGAGAGAGAGTGCGAATTAGAATGCAGTATGTTCAGAAAGAAGGAAGTTTTGTAATTTTTTCAGTGTGTTAAAAACGAAGCCATGCCTCAGAATTTATAGGCAATTATTGAAAGAAGTGTGGTGTTTGTTCTGGCAAAGGTGTCTGTTCAGAAGTTTGCGCGTACGCCAGGACCGCGGCCAGAGTGGCCTTCTGAATCTACAGCAGTGTTCTGGCGCGGTCCTACCGCGGTCACGCCCGGACAGCGGCTAACTAACTGACATTTAATTAATTAAATAAATTTTGTCCAAAAATAATCTTATCGATCGATCATTTGACAAATCCAAATAGCCGAGCCGAGCGAGCGACGACGACGACGCGAGGGTTCATTCTCTTCAACTCCTTTTAAGAGCTTTATGAAGTGATTCTATATATATACACACAAATGTAGTTGTCCTTCACCAATGAGGGACAAAGTTCAAGACAAAAGCTCACTTCATTCAAATTTTCATTTCCCTCCATTTTATTTCCCACCATTTCCAATTCACACTCTTAAACTTTAAAGCCCAATGTTTAAAGTTTTTGAAGCCCAATGCTTTAAAGTCCAACAACACTAATATGGTAGAGTTTGGTGTACTTTTAATATTAATTCACTAAAAGTACAAAGTCATGTCAATCTTGATAGAGTTATAAACAATTAAACAAGATAGTGAATTAATATAGCACGAAGTTGTATCCTGTGCTGTTTGATTAGACATGAAAAAATTATTATTTGACTAGTGACGACAGGAAAAAACATAAAGCAAAAAGAAAAAGAAGAAGAAGAAGATGTGCATGAACAGTCAAATCATGAAATTTGGAGCTATGTTGAATGTGGAACTCATCTCTCGAAAAGACCAAAAATGTGTTCAAAACTTCAAATTGGTCCCTCGACCAATAAACAATTGGTCACGTCTCATGTGTTATACGACCATAAAAGTCACCCAAGGGACAATACGACATTCACAAACCTTTTACTCCCTTATGACAAAATCCAATGATCAACAAGGCCACGGCCCATCCGCCACCATAAAGGCGAAACCCCAACGTGGTCACAACCACTTATTGCCAGCTCACGAAGCTCACAGCTATAAATACCAAGAGAGGAAACCCCAGACAGGGGGGGCTGCTTCTTCACCACTAGTGAGAGGAGAGAGAATCGAGAAAATATACCCCTCTTATGGGAAAAGAAAACACCATTGTAAGGTTCTGAACCTCTCCATGGAGAGGCAGACAAAACAAATATTATCAATAAAGGTTTCTAATGCTTCTACCCTTATTCCTGAGTACTTATTTTCGTTTCTTTCATTGGGTCCAACGAATTATTACGATTTGCTATGATTATCCCGTGATTTATTTATATTGTTTTATACTCGTAAGTTTTGTAATAACTTTTGACCAAACAATCGTAAAACTAAATAGGGAATCAACAAATTATTGATTTTCGTAAGATTTACTTGAAACTGTGAGCTTTGTATTCATATAAGTAATGATTGTAGATAAAGTTTTTGATTTCATCGAATTTTTGTAGTTAAATAAGTCAGATTGTTATAACAAAATGTCATAAAATAATCCCTAACATAAAATTTGCTATTGGAAATACGTGTGAGATCGTACGTTGCACTAAAATAGATAGTTAGTGGTAGACTTGTAGTATACTTGTTAGATGTTGCATGACAATTGACATGTAAACTGTAACTACCTAATAAACAAGACTTGTGAAGTGGAAATACAGTGTCGTAATGTATTGGTCAAATTTTAATATAGACATAATTTTTAGAACTTAGTTTATTTTTTGTGGCCCCTAGTAAGAAAATAAGACAATTACATCTTTTATATCACTAGAGGTGGATCTAAGATTTAAATTCTTTGGGTTCAACTTTTAAGGTTTTTAGCATTGAACGCATTATATTTTTGAAGTCTTGGGTTCATGACTTGGGTTCATATCTACTATTTTTGCAATTTTAATAAATTTTTACTCCGCATCAAAAGTTATGGGTTCAGTTGAACCCGTCGGTGGAACACTACATTCGCAGTAAAAATGGCGTGCGGTAGCCACCATTGAAGGTGGTATTTATTTTTTATCCAGCAATTCTAATATTGAGCAAAAATAGCCACTACTCTATTAAAATTATATGAAAAGATATTTTTACCCTTTCTTCCATTGCTTTTCTTCTCAAACCCTCGCTTCACTCTGAACTCGGAACTCCGGTTGAGATGGCTTCGTCGTCGGCAACAAAATTCGAAAGCTTTTCTCAAAGTTGAAATTCTCAGTTCTCAAGACAAGAAAAAGCACTTTTCTCTTATTTTTTGTTGTTGACAATTAATTGTGCTCTTGAACTCAAACTTTACTGTATTGATTATCTTCAAGCTATTGTTTATATAAGCAAAATTCAGAGCTTGTGTGCGCATACACATAATTGTATTGGTGTCGAGTTTTAATTAACAGGGCACATTCTGTCATGTCCTTGATGAGAAGATTAGTTTTTATACGGGTACTAAAAAAAAAAGTTTTTGGATGGGGTTGTCTTTTTTCTTTTGCTTTTAAAAGATAAAATTCCTAAGTACTACTGCTCAAAAGTTAAGGACACTTGATCCTGAACTTCGAGTTCCAAGTTCAAAAGTTAAGGACACTTGGTCCTGAACTTAGAATTACAAGTTCAAAAGTTAAGGACACTTGGTCCTGAACTTAGACTAACAAGCTCAAAAGTTAAGGACAATAAGTCCTGAACTTAGGCTAAGAAGCCCAAAAGCTAAGGACAATAGGTCCTGAACTTACAGTTACAAGTTCAAAAGTTAAGGACGTGTAGTCCTGAAGTTAAGTTCAAAAGTTAAGGACATGTAGTCCTGAAGTCCTGAACTTAGAGTTCCAAGTTCAAAAGTTAAGGACATGTAGTTCTGAAGTTAAGTTCAAAAGTTAAGGACATGAGCAGAAGGGTATTTTCGTCCGGGCAGTTAAAGTTTATTAAAGCAGTGGCTAAAGACTAAAGACATTTTAAACAATGGCTTAAAAGTAAATACATGTGTTATTAGTGGCTAACCGTGCACTTCCTCCTCTGATATCACAACGATCATTGACATATGACAAAACAATTATTAGTTCGATCTACAAATATTTCAGATAAATAGAGATGATGCACATATAGAGAGGAATGGAAAATTTAAGAACAAAGAAATTGAATACGATTTTCTTTAAAAAAAAAAAGAAAAGGATTACGTGATTCAAGCTATTTGCTCTATTTAAGCTTAATCTTTGTCTATTTCAACATTAGCTATAAAAACAAATCGCAAAGAGCAAAGCAAACAGATCATTTATAAAGTCTGGAGCCACCGATCCTACATGGGACCCGCCAGCACGAATCTTAAACAGCGCTTTTAAACCCTAATAATTAAATTAAATTAAAAGGGTGGAATCTTTCCAAAAATAGTCGGAGAATCAACGGCTCAGATTAATTAATTCAAGCTCAACAGTTACGGTATATAATGCGCTCTGAGTCAGCAGCCTCCCCTTTCATTCTAACAGCAGTCACAACAGTTATCTCTCATTTCAGAAGAGAGAGAGCCATGTGTGGAATACTAGCAGTTTTTGGTTGCATTGATAACTCTCAGGCCAAGCGTTCCCGAATCATCGAACTTTCCAGAAGGTTTCTTCTTTTTATTTCTTTCCGATTTTCTACAGCATTCTTATTCTTTGGGGGTGTCAATGGTATGCATGTGTTTTGGATTTGCTATTCGTGGACTTGTTCGCGTTCTCGTGGTCTTCGATTTGTTTTTGTTAATTTATAATCAGCGTTTTTTCTATGGATTTCTCTTTTGAATCTCTCGAATATATAACATTTGATTTCTTCGAGAAAATTTGGCATTTTTATGGTTCTTACGCTTTGCATCGCTTCAGCGCTTTAAATGACGAAGTGATGGCTATTAGTAATACTGCTAGAGTGGTTATTGAATTACATTAAATAACAGATTGCTAGTAGATCAAATTCAGAATGACAGTGAAATATCTCTGGAAACTTGAATCCCTTTCGATTCGCTGGTAAAACCTGGCTAAAAAATAGCTTTATCTCAGAGGAGAGTATGTCACTGTGAAATTGGTGGTATGTGTTGTTTAAGGCATGATATGCTGCTCTTAGGTGATGTCAAGATGATAATACCATCCTTTTCACACTAGACTCAGCTTTGTAGCACTTACATCTCAGTTAATCGATAGAGGAAAATCTAGTCTGCTTTGGGGCATATTATACCAAATGTCTTCCTTTTGTTTTCTAGTGTTGTTTCTCAAGAATTGAAAAACCAACCCACAATATTGTGATTTATTTAACTAGTTAACTCTTCCTGTGTTTTCTGAAAATTTCCAATAATTGAGAAGCGTTTACAGGTCAATTAGTAAAGGGAGAACGGAACATTTTTTCCTCTAAAGAACTTCTCTTTTTCCATACAGAATGAATTTCTATACAAGGCCTAAGTCTACTTTAGTGTCCGCGATTAAGCATCTTCAACTTCACACTTGAAAGAAGTAGAACTAGGAGGGTGCAGGTCTAGAAAGATAATTGCTTCAGTCATTTCTCATAAAAAAACATTGCTTCAGTCATTATGTGCATTCATATAGAGTTGGTCAAGCTGCTAAGCTGAGCTAATAGTATGATAGCTATGACTCTCGACAAAGTAGGTTGCCTCTTAGGGCTTTATCCTTTGGCTCCGTAAAGAATTTCTTTGGGAGGGCTTCAGAGTGGGTAGGATTGTTCTGATGGTAAGCTGTAACACCAACGAAACAAGCCTTTGTAGCTGTGGAAGTCCGAGGGGGGTGGGGTGGGAGGTGGGGTGTGTGTGTGTGAGTTAGAGTGGTGGAGGAGAGGGGAGGAGTGAAGAGAAGTTTATATTTTAAAGAATAGGGCCTTGAGAACTTTTAGTAGTAAGCATGCATTATTATTGTTATTATTATATTGTTATGTAATTACTTAGCTAATGAGGTTTTTCCAACTGTTTCCAAATTATGAAATGTGTTGAAAGCATTATTAAGTATATAAAAGCTTGTGCTTTCTAATATCTTTAGCTTTTAGAGCAGATAATCACAAAATTTATCATGATAATATAGCAGACAATTTTTCCTAGTTCAAATCTCATGCCACCCTTCATAAAAAATTTCCACGTGCTTGGCTGGCATGTCTGGGGACGTCTTGGCATAATTAAGCAAATAGAATTGTCCTTCTCTAACAGCTTAAGCTTTTAGATGAGGCGGTCAACAATTCAACAATTTGCATTTGTTTGATAAGAAGATATTAAAAGAACCTTAAAAGGTGTCAGTATGTGCACAAACTCTAGGGGTAGACTAACTAGAAGTCAATCTGCTTGTTCTCTGTGTTTTACTTCTTTTGCACTATAGAAATTGCATTTCCAGCATTCCGAAAGCTGCTTCCTTTGCATATAGGCTTCACATTTCCAGCGTTTCCGATAAGCGTTCTTGCTTATTCCCAGTGTTTTGGAAAGCGTTAAGCGCAAAAAAGCGACGGGGCCTCGCTTCACCGAAGCGAGAAGCGCGCGCTTTTTTCATGTGAAGCGCAATTTAACACATAAATAAAAAAAAAATAGGCATAGATAAATGGCTAAGAAATCATTAAAAATAACATATTAAGCAAATTAAATAATCAAATTAAATTAAATTACTACAATCAACAACCAAAAAAAAAAAAAATAACTGTTAATTCACACGAACCAGAAAACAGAGCATAAAGCAGATGATAAAACAGAAAACAGAGCATAAAGCATAAAACAGAGCAGAAAGTAGAACAGAAGAAGAAGAAGTCGTTTAGGGCACAAAATCAGCGCTTTAAAAAGTGAAAAAATTTGAAAGAAGAAGAGAAGAAGAAGAACAGAAGAAGAAGAAGAAGAAGAAAAGAAGAAGAAGAACAGAAGAAGAAGAAAAGAAGAAGTCGTTGAAGAAGCTTACTGAGAACTGGAGACTTCGTCGTCGCTGGAGTTCGCTGGAGAAGAAGTCGTTGAAGAGCGTATGTTTATTTGTTAACAGATGGCTTATTTGCCAAATTTTTAAAAAAAAAACCTAGCAGAAGCCTTCTGCTCGCTTAAGCACGCTTTTTTATCGCTTTTCCATCGAGGCGCTTCTCGCTTAAGCGAGAAAAGCGTGCGCTTTTTAAATGTGAGTCGCTTTTGTAGCAGAAAAGCGATAGCCCTGCGCCTCGCGTCGCTTCAGCGCTTAAAGCGAGAAGCGAGCGCTTTTAATAACACTGCTTATTCCTGCCCTTCTACTTGGTTGATTTTCCTCTCACTTAGTTCACTATCTTCTTGCACGCATTTTCAAATTGTGTTATCAATTCTCTTGCTTTCTTTTCATCTGACCCACAAAATACCTCCCAAAAGCCTTTAGTTTCTGCTTTTCCGAGTCTGAAATTATCTGCTTATTACTGCCTTTCAAGTATTCTGATGCATTGACCGTTTTTTCCCCTTGTAGTAATGCATTGTTCGCTGTCCAATCTCTATTTTGTTTTTTGTGAACCACTATTCTTTGTTGCTTCTGTTTCGCCATCCTCAGTTCCCCATTTTCTCAATTTGATTTTCCTCATTTAAAAAGCGTGCCCCTTTTCTTGTGCTACCCTCTCAAAAATCAGTTGCTGTCATCTCGTTTGATCTGTCATGAACCCAGTTGATGCCACATATTTGGTTCTTGTAAAGTGCCTATCTTTGCCTCTTTAGTTGATCTTGCGTTGGGCTGTTAATCCAAATTCTCTGGGCTTTGCTTTGAAGTATGATAAGCGTTAGCTTTACTACAGTAGCATATTCTACGTTGCTACAGACATGAAATTTTCCTGATTTGTCTTTGATGTGATGTATGGCAAGTGTAGATTACGCCACAGAGGACCTGATTGGAGTGGATTGCATAGCCATGATGACTGCTATCTTGCTCATCAACGGTTGGCAATAGTAGACCCAACTTCTGGAGATCAGCCACTTTACAACGAGGACAAGACCATTGTTGTCGCGGTACGGAAATATTTATTATATTTTTTCTTAGATAGTTGAGTATTTTACCAGTACATGGACTTTGGACAATATTTGTGCGTTTTGATCTTCTATAGTACAAACTTTTCTCGTAGGATAAATTTCCTCTACTTTGAATGAATTATAACAGGAATATCGGAATAAACAATTTGTGATTTCGAAATTTTTAGTTCTTACATTTTTGAAACATATGCGTAAAGTAACTAGGCGATTGACTAGGTGAATACGGAGAATTTCCTCTACTGTTATCAATATTTACTCAGCTCATTTGAAAGATCTCTGGGTCGTCTAGCAGTACAACTATTTAGGCAACTTAATCAAATCCCCTTCCCATGAGTTTCACTTTCTTGACTTGTTTTATATTTTGACATTTTGCAATGCCGAAAATAAATTGTTTTTCCATTTTATGACCTTTTAAATGTTGAGGTGAAGGGCTAGGCGGTACTTTAATCGACTTATCGGCAACAGTGTATTAGATACAGAGCGTAAACTTGTTTGGGTGCCTAATTTGATATTTTTTGAAAAGTCGATGGAGTAAATGGAAATATGCATTAGCAAAATATTGAAATAGTAGATCTAAAAAATGGATGACTGAATTTAGAGGAGGACCTTTTCTTCTTTCCTTGCTGAAGTGGTTATAAGAGAATTATGGGAAGAAAATGTAAGCTTTAGGGTAGTGTTGCACCATAACAGTCATGCTTTCCCTCAACTATTAGTGTAGCTGATGAATGCTTTCAGAAATGTGGCTGCTTTTTTGCTGCGTATTTTATGTCTTTCATCATCTCAAAATTTATTGTGTTTAACACTGCTTGGAAGGCCTAGAGTCTTCCGAAAATAGTAGGTTGTGAAAACATGAGTAAGAAAATTTCTTCCTGCTGGCAATTAATCGTTTTATATGAGGTGAAGCCACACAATCAAACATGGTCTTAGACAAAAAAATATTATTTTTATTATAGAGCAGACAGAAATCTTGGGTCTAGTTGCTATCTCCCTTCCTAATAAGATGCTCTCAATCCTCATTGCTATATCCCAAAACAGATTCACACTAGAATGAATAAATCTCTCCTTGCAGCCACATTTATATTAATAAGTAGTGTAACACTAAAACATTTGTGCTTCTGCAAAGTCTGTTGAAGTGGACGATTAAGTAATAAATTGTGTGAGTTTGAATGAAGAGAAAGTAATAAATTGGGTGAGCTTCTCACATTTTTCAGGATAATGTCAATTCATCTGATTGAACTTTTTGAAGGACATCTCCTTTTTTAAAAGTTTTTGTTCACTTCCTGAAAATGGTTGCTTTTATTCTCCTGTATTTTCCTTGTGCTTTTTGTTGACCAGGATGACCTGGCCTTCCCTTTTGCAAATAGTGACTTCATTACCTTTTAACAAAAGACCAAACAGCCTTTGTATGCTTGAAATCGAAGCAGAATTTACGGCTCAATTTCTCTAGTAGATGTGTAGCAGTAACATAAAACGTGGTTAAAGCAACTTCTGAGCACTGCCACTGTCCAATTTGATATGACGCTATTACTATTTAGAGTGTCAAATAGTGTTTCTTTTGACTACCAATTTTTCAATATCTTTTTTATACCTTTTTTCTTTGACTGTGACATCTAGTATATTTTATGTAGTTTCAGAATATATATTTTAGTTTTTAAAGAATTGATGTCTGAAAGTACAGCCAACTAGATGGTTTTACCCTCGTACTTCAAATCTTATAAGTTGTTTTAGGTTAAAGGAATAAAATGCATGATTACATTGTTTGGATTGATATTCAGAATATCAAATGTGCCGGCAAAAAGCTTGCAGTAGATATAATTCTGTCATTTTGTTGTTTAGATAAACTACCCTTGTCAAATACCTAAAACTAATTCATACTTTTCAGGATCCTTCTTGATTGGACTACTCTGATCTTCTTCCAAATATTGATATCCTATTCCTTTTGCTTTTAGGTTAACGGGGAGATATACAACCATAGAGAATTACGGGAAAAGCTGAAGTCCCACCAGTTTCGAACTGGCAGTGACTGTGAAGTTATTGCACATCTTGTAAGTACTTTCAGAATATATTCAGATAAATATACATGACTTCTCAGTTTCTGTGCGCAGAATGATTTCAAAATACCATGACTCAAATTTTTCATCAAAAGAGAAATAGGTGGATTGTAGTAGGAGAATGAGATTTTTTGTCATAATTTCTTTCTTATGGTATTTGAACTCCGCGATCTACCTATCGCAGTATGAAGACTATGGAGAAGACTTCGTTCACATGTTGGATGGAATGTTCTCCTTTGTGCTTCTTGACACCCGTGATAAAAGTTTCATTGCTGCTCGGGATGCAATTGGCATTACACCCCTTTATATGGGATGGTGTCTTGATGGTATGTTATTGTTCCATTTCTTAATTTTTGGTATATTTCCCTTTTAATAAATAGCCCGTGAGTTATGTGAAGTTCCTTTGTTGTTTCCTTGTTTTGTATTTGACTGATGTATCTTTATTGTTTTGCCTACTATAATGCTGGTCTTATGCTATTGTTACAAACAAATGATGTATAATAGTGCATAGTACATGTTTTCTTGCCGCTGTAGATCAACAATGTACCAAGAACATCTGTCTTAGCTAGTTCAACCTAATTTTCAGTTACCGATCATTCCAGTGAATAACACATATAGAGTTAGGCAGACATTACCTAAGGCCAGCTATACAACATTGTGAAGTGCGACTAAGGAACTCTGAACACTGATCGGAGAAATGGAAAGCAACTTATCCGTGTTTGTTTTGAAGTACTATAAGGAGACAGCAACCTTGCTGGATTTATCACTTGACAGCAAATGTCAATGGTTGAGCAACATTTTTAATGGCTGGAGGAGAAACAGAGAAGAGAAAAAATAATAGATTTTAAAAAAGCAGAGGCGAAAATTTTGTGAAGTCGTATGTTAATTTCAATGAAGAGGATCAACAGGTGCAATATTTGACTTGGCACCTAGCATGTAGAAGTTTCTGGTTGGGGTTGAGCATGGAAGACACTGTTGCTTTTACAACTGTCATTAGAGTCGGAAACATATTGTATTCTCGAGGGAGCGTTGCTATGGATGAAAAAGGCCTGTCTACTACTACTTGATATTTGGGCATTCAGAACTGGTTGTCTAAAGCTGAGGATGAAGAAAAGGATTTAAAATGGTGAGTATTGTAGGCTTTCTTTGCTGTCCAGGATGCCTGGACTAGTTCCCTGAATTGGGATGCTGGTGGAGGATTTCCTGAAATTGATCATGGCCAAAGAGATATGTCAGGGGATAAGAACATTGAAGGATCGAAGGAAGGTGCCGGCGCTAAGCTTTGCTAGAAATGAACAGTTCCATTATGGCTTTTGTCAAAGATGGGAATTGAATTGGCCCCAACTTCCAGGCATCTCTATCCATCGTCAGGTGGAACTAAAGTAAGGTTACAATGGTAGAATTTTTCATTATTTCAGATAAAGTAAGGTGAAGCCGTCAGCAATCATTGCCTGAGAAGGAACCAGGAACAAAATCTAGAAGATGTCTGCTAAAGTGCTAATAGATAATCTGCAAAATTCAGCACGGTAAGGCTAGTGCAGATCTGGTTCAAATTTTAAATTGGTCCAAAATGCTTTAATAAATGTCGGGCCTCGTTTTGGTCCCCCAAAAGTTTGCTAAATAAAGACTTGACAAAGAAACAGGTGAAGGAGAAGCCCAAACATTTGAACAAACTACACCTAGCCCAAACAAAGTGGTTGATTGTTTGGGAGGAGGAGGAAAAGCGAGCCTGCGGAGAGAGCCTCAAACACAAAAAATGACCTAGTCTTGTAATGAGTCTAGCCAAATCATGTAAGCTCTGACTTTCAAGAGAGATCAACAGAAAACTTCGTCAGTCCAGATAAATCAAGAGAATTATGATAATGGAAAGGAGGCTGGACATTGTACTGCCGACGCAACCCCTGGTTTTGGCGTCAGTGAGACAAGTGGAACTAAAGAAGAATATGGATCAAAAGAGTTTATCCAGTTGATACCTGATAGACTCACTACATCAGTTTTCAGTTCAAAAACATTTCAATTCTTGCTGATAAAGATAGCAAACTGTCACCTACCAATCAAAGGAGGTTGTTTCAATTGAGTTAGAGGTATCAAAGGAGGAGCCAGTATATATGGAGCAAGTTTTGATGAAGGGAGTTGCCTCTATTTGAGACCACCAGGTACTCAAGCGCTTCCCGTAGTTCCTAGGCATTTTATAATGGATATGATAGAGAAATGTCTTATTGACAAGAATATACTAGGACTACAGGGATAATAGGGTTGGGAAGGTGAGGACTTCTTTGGTTGCTGTCAGGAACTTGGAAAGAAAGGGAGAAAGGGGATGGAATCAAAGGTTTTGATTTCATTTTTGATTTATGAGGAAATAATGGGTAGTGGATGGAGTTGAGGATGGGAAAGAGGTTTACCAGTTGCACCATTGAATATGTAAAATTAGAGACACTATCCTCTTGTTAGGGAACACGACTATCACAAGCACGTAAGGGTGAGTGAAAGCTCCGACTGGGATGTGGTTTATTCGGGTATGTTGGCACGAAGCCTTCGTGTCCAGGTTTGGTGTTGGGTTAAGTGCAACACCTTAGGAAGACAAATAAACTTGGGACAGATTTGATAGTTGTCGGAAGTTGCACAGTGATGATATTTTCTTCTTCCAAATGCTACGAATGATTGCACATCTAGTAACTGGAGTTATTTCTCATTTGAGCTTTTATATGTAAGAATCAAATAAAATGATTGATGAAATGCATGAAAGCTCAAATGAGAAATAACTAGTAACCTCATGGTTCTCATCCCACTTCATTGACCACTTGGCCACATCCTTGGGTGCCTGCACTGTAGCTGTAGCTGTAGCTGTAATGAAGATAGTTTTTTTTTTCTTTCTGGATACTCTTATATTGTGACAATTTTTCTGTATTCGCTGTTAATGGATGAGGTTATGTGACTCTCCGGTGGTGAGAGTGTTAATGAACATCAAGCTCACATGTCATTTCATTTTCTGATTGATCTTGCTCTTCACTCTTTACGAGTTTAATGTGTTAGTCCTTCCAAGTTCTGTCCATCTTTCTGGTGTGCTTAACCCATCTATATTGGACCACACTTTGTATTCATGCTGATTGCAACAAAGCCTGACTGATCCTGAACTCCTCCTTTATGCCTTAGGTAGAAAATTTTGTGTGTTTAGCGTTACATATTTCACTTCAAAGGAAAAAGGGAGAAACTTAAGGTAGAATCCTGCTCCTTGACCTTTGGATCCTTACACATTGAAGTGGACAGACATGTTTGCTTTGCTTTGATGAGTTGTTTTAGTAGTCAGTCTAAACAACTGCTGATGTATTCTGCTTTATTGTAAGTGTCTATAATTTTTGTCTTTCCACAATTTGCTTTCAGCTCTTTCTGCATATAGAGAAAATAACAGAAGCTTCTATTCGATCATGTAATATTGACTGCGCAAGTTCAGTTTTAAACAACTTTGGTTATGCGCATGCAAGCAATGACCTGAAATAAATATTACTTTTTATGCAGGGTCTGTATGGTTTTCTTCAGAGATGAAAGCCTTAAGCGATGACTGTGAACGATTTGTTAGTTTCCTTCCCGGTCACATTTATTCAAGCAAAAATGGTATGCCCATACGAAGCTCATTTCTGAGCTTGCGCTTCATTTATGTTGATAGTTGATCATGTTTCCTATGCGATCGGCGTACTTTTCCTATTTATTTCAGATTTACTTTAGGACCCTGTTGGAAACAGTCTTGAAACCCTTATTGATGGTGTAATTGTTATCTCTTGATCAACCAAAGGAGTAATTACATGTAATTATTACAAATTTGCAATAAAATAACTTTTAGGATAACCAGTGGAGCTTAATGAATCTTGTAGGATAGTTGGGATGCTAGAGTGATGTACTTTTGATAATGTCGGTTAATATAAAATCCTGTGACTTTGTACTGATGTACTGGTTGAGCAGATTTTATATTACTTTCTAATCCCTCTACAAATAAAAAAATTGTGAGACTGCAGTATAACACCATTATTTAATGCATTTACAATGTTTAAACTTGATATAGCAGTGTAGAACATGTCGACCTTAAACGGAGGTTCTATTTGTCCTAGATAAAGGAAGATCAGCGTAATGAAACATTACAGGAGAGAAGCTCTATTGCGTTTTTGTTAATCTAGAGAGAGCCCGTAAATAGAACACCAATTCATCTGTTATATGACTTCTTTTTCATTTTGGAACGTTTTAAAAGTTTGACAACATTTTTTGATCTCCCTACACTAAACTTTTTGATGTATTAAACTAACTGTTTCCACTACTTTAATATTTTCTTCCTTAAACAACTCATGTTAGCATCTTAAACTCTGTGTGTTCAATACCCTCATATAAAATTAAACGAGTATTTTTTTATATTTGCTTATGCCCTTGGAGTTTGGGATGGGGAAGTTCATCATTTGAGGCGAAAGGTAAATTCTTTTGGATGGACAAAAAGTGAACCTCGGTCTTTGGCATGGAGGGACTATTTAAATCGTCATCATTACCAAAGTCATCTTTCAAGTGTTTACTTTCAAGAATTATTCATGCTATTTCTCAAGTATATTATGGGTGCAGGAGGACTCAGAAGATGGTACAACCCACCATGGTACTCAGAAACCATTCCCTCTACTCCATATGATCACCTTGTCTTACGGAAAGCTTTTGAGAAGGTCATTCTATTTTGGATGTCGCTTGCTTCTGAGTTGTATATAATATTTAGGTGCCACTTTGTTGTATTTTATACTTCATCAAAAGCCTTTGGATTCATTGAGGACACATATCCCCTTGACTGACTGGGAGCTGAATTTCCTTGATGTATTGTGCTTATTTTGATTGTCCTCTTCTTTGTTATACTCTTGCCTATAAGTAAACCTTCTTTATCAAAAGAGAATGATAAAATGTTAAAAACACTTTGTGATATATGTTGAAGGGGAGCCTTGGCGTAACTGGTAAAGTTGCTGCCATGTGACCAGGAGGTCACGGGTTCTAGCCGTGGAAACAGCCTCTTGCAGAAATGTAGGGTAAGGCTGCATACGATAGACCCTTGTGGTCCGGCCCTTCTTCGGACCCCGCGCATAGCGGGAGCTTCGTGCACCGGGCTGCCCTTTTTTTTCCCCATAGACTTTACATGATATTTTATCTCAATCTTTATCAATTCTTTTTTACCTTCACATGCAAATTGTACTACTGTATGTGAAATATGCAATAGTTTTTCCCGCAATTTTCATCTTTCATGTACCTCTCTCTACTATCCATGTATTACTACTGATTTGGTGCATTAAATGCTAATTCTATTCCCAACCTTTACTTTATGCAGGCTGTAGTCAAGCGACTTATGACGGATGTACCATTTGGTGTGCTTCTGTCAGGCGGACTAGATTCTTCACTTGTTGCTGCAGTGGCCAACAGGTATTTGGCTGATACTGAAGCTGCGCGACAATGGGGATCACAGTTGCATACCTTTTGCGTAGGCTTGAAGGTGGTGATGCTCCCTTTTGTTAACTTGGTCTGATTAGGGAATTGCTAGCTGTGTCATCCCAATTCACATGGAAGTTCTAGACCATTATTGCTGTTTCTTTTCCATATATAGGGATTTTCTGAAAATAGTAAAAAGGAAATGGAATTTCTCTTTATTAAAAATACCGAATGCCTTTTTGGGAAATGATCTTACAGTTAAATCGAAAATTTCCTTTTGACATTGTGATTAATTCTGATATGAATTTGGTCCATCCTGGCTTTCCTTCTCTTGATTGTAGATTTTCCTTCTCTTTTTGCAATTATATGCCTGTCTTTTTGTCTTACTCTCCAAGACATGCAATGTAACTCCAGTTGCAAGGTTTGGTAATATTGACTTGTTTATTTCTGCTATCACGTCCTCCTGAAAAAGTGCTACTATCTTGTATTCATGCAGGAGTTTGAAATTTGCAAGTGTATAACTTTACAAAATGATTCGAACTGATCACAGTTCATTGCTAATAAAATTTTATAAAAAGCAGGTATTGTTGTGATATAATGTGACACTTAAATAAATTTAAACCTACATCCTTTCGAAATCTCTGATAGCTTCACTAATATTTCTTGTGCTAAACTCTTCCAACACCTCTTATCGATGCCAAAATTGGCAGACCTTAGTGCACTTGAAAGTGTTTAGTGTTCTTTATGCAGTAGGTATGTTATTGTCCAAAATGACAGAAATAAAGTTAGAGATTTGTTGAAAAGCCACTTGGTGTGATTGAGCAGTTCGGAGATGAGTGATTTACTGATTTATCCATCTTTTTATACTTGTAGTGTTTTGTTTTCTTTTATATTGTTTTCTCTTTTGCTTTTGTCATTGTAATTAAGGTTATCTTTTGTTTGACTTTAGGATTCTCCTGATCTGAAAGCTGCCAGAGAGGTGGCAGACTACCTTGGAACTCGTCACCATGAGTTTCACTTTACTGTGCAGGTAACTTTTCATAAAGACATCCTAAGCCGATTTTCCTTATAGGAGTATAACCGTTTAAGTCAAATTGGCTATCTACTTCTTTCTATGCTACATCAGGAAGGAATTGATGCACTAGATGAAGTCATTTATCACGTTGAAACATATGATGTGACCACTATCAGAGCCAGTACACCAATGTTTCTCATGTCTCGGAAGATAAAGTCCTTGGGTGTGAAAATGGTTCTATCTGGTGAAGGTTCTGATGAAATTTTTGGCGGTTATTTATATTTCCACAAGGCACCCAATAAAGAGGAGTTTCACCAAGAAACTTGTAGAAAGGTGGATCTCATTGTCATTTCTTCAGTCATTCAGGATTAGTGGAAGTAACTGTATTTTTACTAGAATACTTCTTTGAACTATTTCTAGCTCTGATGGACGCTTTGATGTTAATCCAGATTAAAGCACTTCATCTTTATGATTGCTTGAGGGCCAACAAATCTACTTCAGCTTGGGGTGTTGAAGCTCGTGTACCTTTCTTGGATAAAGAATTTATCAATGTTGCGATGAACATTGATCCGGAGTGGAAAATGGTAACCTACAGTGCTCCCCCCCCCCCCCCCCCCACCCACACACACCCCAAAAAAAAAAAAGAAAAGAATTGAAAAGAGAGATTCTTTTCTTCCTTCAAGGAAGAAGGGGGTAAAATGACATTTTACATAAAAATGACAAAAGAATAGCTGCAAGTTTTGCAGAAAAAATAGTCTTCAATGTCATGGGACCAAGGTTCAAATCTGAGGTTAAAAAAAACACTAGGTGAACTCTTCTAATCCATTTAAGCCTTGGTGGACAGAGTTAACTAGTATATGAGCTAGTTAGAGCTAGCAGGTACCTGGGGGGGATTAGTGCAGGTGCACACGAGCTGACTCAAAACCACCATTATCCAAAAAAAATAAGAAAGTCTTCAATGTTGTTCCACCGTGATTCATGATGTGCCGACTTTCCTGTGTTTATCTCTGGATAGATGAAGAGTGTTTTTGGATCTTGATTAATTCTGTTTGGCCCCTTTGAGGTTCTGCAAGCTATTTCTAGACTCAAACTTGCTGCGACCTATGTTAGGTCTAGAGAATATCTGCCAAATAAAACAATGGAAGTTACACTCAAGTATTTTACCTCCATATTACAAGTCAGTGTTAGTTGAATGGGTCTGATATATGTGATAGAAAATGGCTTCATATAACCTCATTAAAATGTTGCTGATGTGCTGATCTCATCTGTACATCTAGTATAATCCTAATTACAAATTAATGCATCTCTTTGCGGTGACTATAGTATGCTGAAGAACCTTTCTTGAAACATTGCAGATAAGACCTGATCTCGGAAGAATAGAAAAGTGGGTTCTACGCAATGCTTTTGACGATGATCAGAATCCTTATCTGCCAAAGGTTTGTTTGTTTTCTTGTATCAGGTCCAAAATCAAAATCTTTGTTTATTCATTTGCATAAACAGGCAGTAGACTCCCAACACATTGTGTACACTTATGCACAAATGTATGAGATGTGTATTATATGTGTCACATATAAGGGTATTATATGTACACACTCCTACCACCTTTCACATATATATTCACGTAAAACACATGCATGTGTAAAACCTATGTGTATATGTGTGTGTGTGTGTGTGTAATGTATATAATAAAATGATGTTTGAAAAGACATTATGATCAAGTAGTTGATGTTCATCTGCTTTCCGTTTTTAGCATATCTTGTATAGGCAGAAGGAACAGTTCAGTGATGGAGTTGGCTACAGTTGGATTGATGGTTTGAAGGATCACGCAAGCAGTCTGGTGAGCTTTTTAGTTGTTTTCTCTTCCCTCCTCTTCCATTCTTTATCCCTTCCTTTTGTGGTTTTGTTGAACACATCTCGTATATTTGGTCCAGGTTTCTGATTCAATGTTAGCGAATGCAAGTTTCGTTTACCCGCATAACACACCCACGACAAAGGAAGGATACTACTATAGAACTATTTTTGAGCGATATTTCCCCAAGGTGGGTTTTACATAGTCTTCTTTTCCTTGTTATTCATGTTCAGTTTTTGATATTTTGTCCCAAACAATGTTTTCTTTTTCTTCCTTTTTTCTGTTAACAAGGTCGCTTCTATCTTCATATTTGTTGATAAAGTTAATCACATTGTTTAACTATTATTTGGAGCAGAATGCTGCGAGGGAAACAGTTCCAGGTGGTCCAAGTGTGGCATGCAGCACTGCAAAAGCAGTAGAATGGGACGCAGCTTGGTCCAAGAATCTAGATCCATCTGGTCGAGCTGCACTTGGTGTTCATGCAGCTGCTTATGAGGATGCATCAGAGGTTAAAACCACAGTCGCAACAGATACCCCTCAGAAACTTGAAGTTGATAAAGCTGCAGTAGCTGTTTGATTGTATATCCTCATTCGCGCTGGGAAGTTCATCCTGGTGTAACATATCGAAAACATGACTTGTTCTTACTGTCAATTTATTTAACTTCTTTCACGAGTTTGAATTCTTCGGTTTTATTCCCTGTGGGTTTCTCTTTTTTTTTTTTTTTTGGTTGTAGATACCCTGTTTCTCAGTTACCCGAGTTTATTCTACTAGAAGAAATATGCATGAATTGTGACAAATATATACATGACTTAGAACCTGAGTGTGAATGACTGATTTCCTGAATCAGGAACGGAACATTTTGAGGCTGGGGTGGGGTTAAATACACCGTCAGTTCATGAAAATTTCATATCGGGTGGCCTTAAAACATAAACATACTCCTATAAACATATACTCGATTTAAATAATGCACGTCTTTTATCCAACATATTTGGCCACACATCATCCATTTAAGGTTGTAAATAAGTGTAGTTGTAGCTATGAGTGCTCCATAAAGATTAGCCGATCATGCTCAAATAAAGGAAGAGAATTGTGGTACTTAGCAACCAACTTAAATACTCTTAACTATAATGAATCGTCTTAATGCAGCTTGAATGGAGCACAATGACTTAGTGATCCGACTAATTTGCCCTTTCTAATAGAGGAATTTACGCATAATACAACCTTCTTACAACTAATTTTTAAAAAACTACATAAGATACAATTTACTACAACTTATTAACATTTTAATTAAATCATATATAGTACAACTTTTCATACCCCTTAAATATCTCCATTAAGGCCATCTAAATAGGAAACTCGAATCATTTTGAGTATTCAACCTATTTCAAACTTATCAAATACTCGCTTTCTCCAATATACGTTATTTTGCCATACCTACATGGAGAAATCATTATTATCATTCTTTTCCACAAGTTCATAGGCATAAAATTATTTTCTGTTTCCACTAAACCTTCTCCTTTGCCAAAATTGCCTAATCACTAACTTATTTTTCAGTCTCCACTAATCTATTCTTTCTAATCTCCCTTTATCATCCCAATACTTCTCCATACTAATCTATTCTTTCTAATCTCCCTTAAGCAAAAGAAGCACGACGAATATTAGTAATGGCTAAATTCGAAAATGCCATGTCATTATTGAAGGATATAGAACCATATTGATATAGTTCAGTGCATGGGTGGCTCGACTATAAGGCCAGTAAAGCAATCGCCTGGTACCCTATTTTTTGGGGGGCTCTTTTTTTCTTAAAAATGTATTGCATATATATTATTAAAAAAATGTGTGTACATTTAAATTTAAAAAGAATTTTTGTAGCGAAAGTAGAATAATTTTAATGTGAGGATCGTTGTAATAATTAGAGAATGGAATAATTTTTAATGAATAGTTTCCTTACATGGATAGAGTAGCTAATTTTTTGCCTAATTTATATCCTAACAACTAATACACGCACACATTATTATTTATATATTTACCTTTTTCATTCTCTCTTTTACTATTCGTATTCTCAATATTGAAAAGTCTCTCTCGGCAACTTACCGCGGCTTACAAGTTGTTTCTTCAAAATATCAGGCATTACAACAAGCAATCATATTGAAGCAATGCAACACTTCTCGTTATTATTGTATCAACTTATCTTGCTCTATAGTTTCTTACTCTTTGATATCTGTTACTATCTATTGTTTCCTGTACTTCGATTGTCTTATTTATCTGTGACAGTTACTGCACCTTTTTAGACTGCTTTATCATGACTTATTCGCTTTCGTTACTTTCATTTTCATACTGCACTGAATTGATTGTCCTTATCTGACCTTTTTTCTTGCCATGCTTTTTCTTGTGCCGAGGATCTTTCGAAAACAATATTTCTACCTCCCAAGGTAGAAGTAAGGTTTGTATACACTCTACCTCCCCAGACCTCACTTTGTAGGTTTTCATTGGGTATGTTGTTGTTGTATATCAACTTATCAAATTCTTGAGCCGATTTTATTATCTAACTTTATTTATACTTTTTCATTGAAAATTTATCGTTGATATTCTTACTTGGGATCTCTCTCAGAAATTTGGCTTCAGGCCCCCAATCTTGTTGAGACGGCCCTGATTCGGTGTAAACATCCATAAGTTTTTTTCTTGGAATACATACGTACCCACATGAAGGCTTTGACAACTTCATACAAATCCAAGACGTCTTGCTCCCAAATTAACATTACTTATCTATGATACTCATATTCTTTGGAGTAAAATTACATTGCATCTTGAGAAGTTAACTTTCGTTAAAGTCCTTACACAACTGGTGTAAAATAAATATGTAACGTTCTTGAAATGTTTTTGTGAGATGGTTAAAAACTTTCAGTTGGCTACAGAAAGTGGCCAAGTTTCGTCCCATTGCATTATGTAATAATACATCTAACTCATCAGTAAGATCAATGGTTGATCGATCATCAGTAGCGAAAGACTTCAAGATACCAAATTAATTAGCTTAATGAGTACACATTCAAGTAGGAACCTCAATACACAATACTTGAGAACTCTGTTTTAAAAGGCTGAATTGGGACTCGCCCAGGGGCGGAGCACTCGTAAAACGCCCCTGGGCTTATATGTGGGGCTTAGTTCCGTGAGACTTACGCCTCGGCCATCGGGGCTTACGCCCCGGACACGCCCAACGCCCGGTGTACTGGGCTCGCCTAATAGAACTTTATGTAATTGTATGTAACTAACCTTGTAAATCTTCAAATTTTCTTAATAAATCGTTGACTACTCAAAATTAATTTTTTCCTAAGTATAAATTATTAAGTTGGAAGTTTTGTCATAATTAAAATAAAAATTATTGCACGTTATCCACTAAGACTACTATGATAGTTAATTTTAAATAAATCTTTCATTTAAAAAGTATTTATTTATTAACTATTGTTATGTCTTTACTATATAATAGTCCATAATTTTTTTTATAATTATTTTTCTAATTATTTTTTTTCACGTTTACGAGATACTACTTATTAATTTAATAGCTCAGTATTAGCTAGTAACTATGTACAAATAATTAGTTATCATGGTATTGTATGGTGAATTATGTGTCACTTTATTAACTTGTTGAAACTTAAAAAATGAATGATGCTTGAGAATCATATTTAAATTGTGAATTATGTTTTTATAAAAATTCTCTTTCAAATAGAAAGCATATTAAATAAAAGGAGTATTTTAAGAAAAATATCAAATTATAATATCGGAATTCTTTCAAGATTCATTACTCCTTAAGAGATACATATAAGATTTCGTATCGAATACATTACTTTTGATGTTTGAGTTGTAACGACATTGCAACTATTCGTTATGATATATGTCATACTTTTCGTATTATTCATAGTTGAATTATAATTTATTAATATTTTAAATATATTATTTGTTATAATTCTGTGATTTTAATGTACTTTTATAATTATTTGTTATTTTATACTATCTTAAAAATTCATGAAATTAGTAAAATTTATAGATCCGTGGAACTTACGCCCCATGTCTCAAGGCTTACGCCTCGCCTCGTCAGAGGTAAATCGCCTCGTCTCACACCCCCGCCTTTTAAAACATTGCTTGAGAATATGGCTTGAGAGGTTTAATTTGACCCAACACCAGGACCAAATATTATACTGTCAAAGATTTCGACTCTTCGGATGTAAATAGACAACACCAAGCACCTGCTCAAACAAGTCTAGCTTGCATCTTAAATTCAGTAAAGAAATATTCTTCTGCAGCATCAGCAGTGTAGATTATAGGTTCGGCATAACCAGTAACTTTGGTCCAAACCCTGTATTTCTCTTAAGAAATTCATTGAATATGTACACAATATTAGTTTGGAACCCATAACTTAAAAGAACTAGAATCTCAAGCCCATAAACTTCAAATCATGGCTTCGCACATTAGCCTCAGTCACTGGAGAAAAGTTTAAGGAATATTTTTAGTTGGCTCTCACATTCATTCTCATTTGCCAAAGCAAATAAGAAGAAAGGAGCATTTTATCAAACTTGTTCGCTATACATGTAAGGGAACACATCTATACAAGTGTAACATTGTTGCTTAACATGTGACAAAATATGTACAAAAACTATCCTGCATTCCACATGGTGCTCAAGCACGGGCATCCAACAGACACGATCATTTAGACTGGAAGGGAAGCATCTGAAAAGCGGTAATTACCAGCGGCAAATTCCAGGTGCCTCCGTTCGCAAAAGGGAAACCATCTCTTCGTACTTGGAAGCATATACAAAGCCCCATAACTGCATGGCACATGATAAATGTATATTGCACTCTTAAAGTTAACTTTCATATAGCTAAGTGCAAACAAACTGCCCTGTGACAGGCTGACACACGCATGCATTTAGATATACAGACATAGACAAGGCAGGCCACAACCCGCACACGTATGCAAACACAAAACACACAGAGATACAGTTGCGAGTCTACCTCAACTTCCTTAACTTCAAAGTCTTCAGTGTGTGCCAAACAAGAATTTCCATAAGTTTCTGATGTTGCACTTGAACCTGTTAGCCTGAAAAAGTCGACTTGAATTAATCCCAAATAAGCTGAAATCATAAGATTTGATTTCATAGTAAATATATTAAGTCAAAAAGGTGAGGTTCATGACGATGATGATGATAGTTTCTACCTTGAGTTCATTGAGAAGGTTAATATTTCAAATTTTGACATGACAACCTAAAATTGGATGGACGAAGAAGGTAACTCCCAAGAGGCTGTGGGGCATTCGATAATCCTCCTTTTTCTCCCTTAATTGGAGGACATTATGATACTAAGTGAGAAGTGGTGAAAAGGCATACAAACATAACTCAACATTAGATTCAATAAGTTGAAACATACATAGCCAACACAATCTTTTGGCTAGCTTTTTTGGTGCAACCTGGCTTTTGTTAAAGATGTAGTTCCATGTTAGATATGAGGGGGGTCTTGCACAATTTGTAATGCACTATCTTAGTGTTGTTACACCATTTATAAGATTTCATCTTTACTTATTAAAAAACATAAAGCAATGAAATAAGGAGCAAAAGAAAGGAGAAAGAAATCTTACAGATCCCCATCTAAGTAGAGAGCAAAATGACCACCACCTCCCAAAGCTAAATACTCCGTGGAGCAGACAGTGAAATAGCGATTGACACCTACTTAGGCACCAGTATAAGTGTCATAAGAATTGATTTGAATTCTAAACAGTCCTAAGGCTGATCGAAAACATATCCATAAAAAGCAAGGAATTGAATAATAAGAGTCAAAAACAGAAACAGTTCGGGGTCATTTGGTTTGTGAACAAGTTATACTGGGATTATAACACGGGGTTTAAATTAAATAATGACGGGATTATTTATTGGATATACTTTTATTGGTAGATATTTGATAATTAAAAATATATCCAATAAATAATTTGGAGCAACGGTAAACTTGTTTCCGTGTGACCTTATAGGTCACGGGTTCGAGCCGTGGAAGTAGCCATTAATGCTTGCATTGGGTAGACTGTCTACATCACACCCCCTGGGGTACGGCCCTTCCCCAGACCCTGCGTGAATGCGAGATGCTTTGAGCACCGGACAACCCTTTTTTTATTTGGATCATTTGACTAAAAATGAAATATGTGGGTATAATATAAATCATATGTCTTAATACACTAGATAGTCTTGGATAAATTTTTATCTCCAATTTTAACCTTGGCTTTCTTAAAAGACTTTGGGAGAAAAGTTCTCGAGAAGAGCAAGAGTGTCATTTTGTGGTTTTTTTCTGGGGATTAGTAATCCGAGATTGTTATCCCACATAAAGTGTGGTATAAAAATACTACATTTGTGGTTAAAAAAAAAAACCGGGATTATTTATGCCGAAATAAAAACACTCAACCAATGCGAGATAAATGATCCCACATTTTTTCAGGGATTATTATCCCCTATCCTCCCGCTCCAGTCATGCGATCATGCCAGGATTGGGACAGTCGTGATTTCGTAGAGGAAAATATGACTAATTTCTGGAAAATAGTAAAACGATTGATTGATACATCTTTGGTATACACCATGAATACAATATTTTATAGCTTGTATGCTTATGTTTTCATCTCTCGAATGACAGTAAATCATGTAACCAATGGATTAAAAAATGTTTCAACCCCATGTTCTCCCACAAGTGAACCACTATCTTAGTTCTCCTTTTGATCATATATTTCACAAACAACAAAGGATAATGAGGCTGAACAATCCACTCCCATCCCAATGTATTAATCAAATTTATACAGGACAGCAAACAAAAAACAAAAATGGAATTTTGTTCTCCAAACATGAAATGTCTGGTAAAAATATAAGGAAAAAAGAGATACCTGTGGGTCGAAATATAACAGGTTGGCCAGATACATTTGAGAAAACAAATGAATTATTTGTACCCTGTCATATAACACAATCAAAATCAAGAAGAAAAATGGAAACTCAAACACAACGACATGTTTTGAGTTTTCAGCTCAAAATTACCTGATATCTTCTCTTAGTAGTTGCCCTTAATGGTGCATCAACTAGGCCACCAAATACAGCACCGTTGTGATCCCCCACAACCTATAAGATATGGACGACATGAGAGAGACACAACTAGAGTCTCATACCAGATTTAATAATCTGTAAGTTTGACGTCTTAATGACTACATCCACAATTCACAGTGACAGAAAAGAAAAAGAAACCAGACACAGGAATGATTTTAACTTCAATAACGCAAAAAGAGATAGAGCGCTCAGATTCATACAAAAAGAGCAACCAGCTAGAATCAAAAACTAAAGTGAAAAATTTACCGCCTTTGACTTCAAAAATGGCACACAGCGAGCTTCAGAGGCGTTTCCAGCTCATGATCAATCTTTTTTATTTTTCAAAACAATAACGCCTAACCCAGAAATCTTGAGTTCCAAAACTATCAGAAGGAATAAATTACCAAACTATGAGTTTGTCAGCCAGGAGAGGCATTACTTAGGTCTTGTTATGAAACAAGGACACACCTCGTCTTTTCAGTGAAAATATAAATCCAGCTGACCTCCCTGAAATTGGAAGGATTACTTGGTTTTCGAAAATATGATTTGGACTGCGACGGCAACATTAACAAGTTAGGCCATAAAAAGATAACAGGACCTGGGAATATTTGATCATCCATTCATAAATCATAAGATAGCTGGGTCCTATTCCACGGATAAGCCAGCATGGGGATTCTACTCTTTGTTAAGTTCAAACAGATTTTCGTATAAGGGAATGGAGATTATACAGTAGATTCTTCGAGAAGTGAAATACACACACCTAACCGACAATAAAACAATAAGTCTTATCTATGTAGACCATAAGCAATCAAACAACTGTTCAAACTGTAAACAAAACTATTTTCCAACGCGTTACTCCTGGTACATAATTCTTTATAAGCAATATATATCTCTAAAAATAATTACCAGCAGACTGATGCCATGCCAGAGTAGGCTTCTCCTATATAACGTTGAGAGTGATATTCCATTCCTCCATGTACTGGCAAAACAGAAACGAGAAGTTAAATTGGAAAGTAGAAGAGAGATTAAGCATATAGATGCTGCTGAGAAAGGAATTCAAATTTAATTCAACTTATGATCCCCTGCCTGTATAACAAGACCCACTTCCTGTCCTGCACAAGCACTGGCAATGCAGCATAAAGAGCGCTTCTAGCCTTCTCAGAGAGGAGCATTGACGGCTCGGAAGTTTCCGGAAGATTGTTCTGAGGAAGTTTCTGATTCATATCTTCCAAGGGTATCTGATCATCTCCAGCAACTTTGGAATTACTTCCATCATCAAACACCATCTCAGAACTGCCCTTTGCAGAACCCTGATTTCTAAAGCCGCCTAGTCTAGCGACTCCGTGAAACGCTCTACCAAGGGACTGTTTACCCCTGGAAAGTATACTTTTTCTTCTGCTAGGTTCCTTCATTATAGGTTCAGGTGTTGACTCGTCTTGCTTGCCACTAATGTTAGACTTACTCACAGATCCTGAGGTCGACAGCAGAGAATATAGAAATGCGGTGAAAGAAGATGTATCAGGACCATCAACTAAATCCTTGGAATCTTCCTCTGCATATGACTCATGCTTACTTCCCTCTGAATCAGATTCATCTTCCTAAAGAAACATAAGAAATATTATTAGCATACTCTTTTAAATTAACTAAAACTCACAGTAAGATGAAAATGGGAAATATTACAAAACCTCTTAATTGTGAGTATACTGCATACCAAATTATACAAAAACAACAACAAATACACCTCAGTCCCAAACAAGTTGGAGCCCGGCTATATAACTGACCATGTTACTCCATTTAAACTCATATTGCATTCCAAATTATATGGCCCAATATTTATAATGTTATCTATGCTGCAGTATTCATCTAAAATAACAAGCAGTGAATACTAAAAAGTGCTTATGATGCTGCAATCCTAGTCATATCTTGTACTTCTCTAACCCCTAGACAATCTAACGATTACCTTATGGCGGAAAAATCAACTAGAAACAAACTAGATAGGATTTACCTGAATTGAGTCCCTCTGAAAACCAACAAAAAGAGTTTTAACTTATATATACTGACTTTACTCGATACTGACAGTAACTTTTTACTGTTCCTCGAGCCGAGGGTCTACCGGAAACAACCTCTTTGCCTTTATTAGGTAGGGGTAAGGTTGCTTACATACTACCCTCCCCAGACCCCACGTATGGGATTAAACTGGGTTTGTTGTTGTTGTTGTATACTGACAGTGCAAAGAAATGTTTACACTATAAGGTCACTCAAAAGATATTCACAGATAACCCTCCATAAAAAGATGGAATTTGTAATCTTGAAAATTAGGCAGATTACCTAGGTAAAGCTGACCTGATAGTGTAAAGACGGTCGGTGGATATTAGTTAAACTCCAACAAGAATATATAAGAAAAGAAAATTCTCACTTGCCTTAAACTATGATTAGGAAAAAATTGAGCAATTACCCAGTTCAGTTAAAGATTCCAGATTATATTTTACACAGACCCAAAGCATAAATCTCAGATTGAATATTAATAGGTCAAAATTAAAATTACTACTGTAGTAAGCAGTAACCAGAATGTTTCTCCAAAAAATTGCAATTTAGCAAAGAAAAAGTAGCTCAAGAATTAAGCGGAGCACAACTACGCAAGTCAACCTAAATCGTTATTGCTGATCAATTTCCAATTGGGTATTCAAGAGCTGAAAATTATTAACCTCAGAAAAGAAAGGATTAATTAGTATCACGAAATCCCAAAAAATAATTAAACTTACGGGTACAGGAGGGGGACGAGGCTTTAAGGGTTTATCAGAAATGGGGTTGAGAATAACAGTGGCAACATCTGATACAAAGTGTGCTGCTTTACTCCTTAATGAACTCTTCTTCTTCTGTTGAACAAGATTCTCTTGATTTTCCTCTTCTTTGTTTTCACTACCCATTATTAATCTTATTTATTACTAAAACCTTTGGTATGAAATTCCACTATGCTTTTGTGATGCTGCTCTAATATCCCATATTTTTCAATACCTTCAAAGGCAAAACTTCAGAATATACACTTTTTATTTTCTGTTGAAAAGGAAAGTGGGTGGAATATTAGGAGAAAAAAAAGGAGAAAAGTAGAAAAAGAGTGTGTTGGAAGGGATTTTTCTCTCTTCAGTGGTTAGACATGGATAATCATCAACCATCTCACCACCATTTTGTTTCTGTAAAATGTAATATACTAAATATTTTAATATATTTAAGCAAAATATTTTCAAGAAGGACTCTGTGGCCCAATGGATAAGGCGCTGGTCTACGAAACCAGAGATTCTGGGTTCGATCCCCAGCAGAGTCGAGTATTTTACCCTTTTATTTTTTTTGGGTGTTCCAAAGACGCTACACTAATTGTTCTGTTGTTTCAATAAATTAACTGCACAATCTAAACTAGCTGGAACTCATACTCTTTTCTTTATCCGGGGTTGGACTGTATAAGCAACTTTAGTTAAAGGGTGTTTGGATTGACTTATAAAAAGTAGCTTTTAAGCTAGAAGTTAAAAGCCATAAGTTGGTAATACCCAGCTTTTGGCTTGTTTTTGTACTTTTTATGTCTAAAAATAAGTGCTTTTAAGCACTTTTTATCATTGCCAAACAAACTAAAAAATGGCTTAAAAGCCAATAAGCACTTAAAATAAGCCAATCCAAACACCCCCTTAGTCTATCGTTTATGGTCGAATGCTATAGCTAGTGAAATGTTTGAACTTGATTTAATGCGTCGATTAGCTGCAAATAGGAACAACTGACTTTGAGAACTAGGCTCCTAGGCTGTTATTTCCTCTTCCGTTATGACGATGGAACATCTTTAGTTATCCGGTCCTTTTAAGGAGGTTCTGAGACTTGAAATTGAAGTTAAGACAATGAACTAATAGCGACGTAAAGAGCTATATCAGTAAGAATAATATGTGACTCTTAGGTTAATAATCCTCCAAATTGATGTAAATTAGAGTTGGAATTTGTTCATATAACATGGTTAGCACATGAATATTTACAAACCTTAGTCCTAAATCCTATGAAACACCAAGAAATATTACACTTTCAGTAAAACGATCCCAATTCAAAGGCCATATCCACTTCTTGCAATAATTATCGGATCTCACTCCTATCCATTTCTTCTTCTCTCTGTTTTACCATATTCCTACTTGAATTTGTAACCCATGTGTCTTTAAATGTCAAAGTTCTTGTTTTGGTTTGTCTAAATCGCAAGCATACTACTAAAAGATTTTTGTTACTAAGTACTCACTCTGCCCACTTTATGTAACATTCTTTCTTTTACAATCTATCTTAAGAAAAATAATATCTTTCTATAGTTAGAAATAATTTAATTTTGGAAATACATGGACTAAAAACTACCATAATTATATGTGGGCCTAGTTGAAATTAAGAAAGCCTTCGAAGGCTGCCACATGTCTTCAATGTAGTTTCAAAAGGTCGACGTCATGAGGTCGAGGAGGTTCAGTAGAGGACCAAGACGAGCATTCCCTTTAGTAGAGTAGTAACGGTTGGTTTTAGAAATAAGGTTCCCCAGAGAATATTCTAGCAAATATTCTTTCCAGCGTATTATTTAGGGTTTGATGGCTCATGTACCCTTATAAATAGAAAGATATGTAGTTATAGAAGGGATTAGACACTCATTATAAAAAATAATACACTGACATTCTCTGAATATTCTTACTTTATCATACACGTACAAAATCCACCTTTTCTAGATTTTTATCTATCTTTTGTTCCACGATCCAAGGAGGATCCGATTATTCAAAGGCTTATTACCATCTATCTTTGTCAGAAGGAATATTAAGGAATCTCTCCCCTTTTCAGGTGACCCACATCCATTTATTTACATTAATGCCTCCAACTGTCATTTATTGCTATTTATTGCTATCCTCCATATTCTTGGATTATTGATTATAACATTCTTGTTGTTATTGCTGCTCAAATAGCACACGTGAGATCTTACTACAAAGACATTTGGTCTATCTTTTGGATATTAATATTGGCTAAGATCAAACCAACTTTAATATAAAATTCGATTGTACAAGCCTAGATCTAAATTTTGGGTCATACAATTTGGCGCCGTTTGTGGGGATTTTCTCAACCAATTTTTTAGTTTCCACTAGATCCACAACTCGCGTGACTTGTTAATCTAACAAACAACCAAGTTTATCGACTTGTTAATCTAACAAACAACCGGGGTTTATCTCTTTTCTCTCTGCGTACAAAAGTCTCCATGGCAGGTAACCAAGGAAACAGAACCAAGGCGACAGATAATGTACCCCTCAACCTGTGATGACCCAAAAGGTCATCACTTGTTTTTAAATTAAATTCTGTATTTCGAGGCCTTAAAAACCTCTTTCAGCATCACCTCGATTTGCGTGCACAGACTGGGCGTGTAGCCGGAAGTCTATATGTGAAAATCTGTGAAAAATGATAAAATTTGGCTTTAAAATGAATTAAGTTGGCTTCGGTCAATATTTTGGGTAAACGGATCCGGACCCGTGATTTGACGGTCCCGGAGGATCCGTAGGAAAATATGGGACTTGGACGTATGCCCGGAATCGAATTCCGAGGTCCCAAGCCTGAGAAATGAATTTTTGAAAGAAATTATTTTCGAAAAAATGTAAAGGTTTTTGAAAGTGAAATGTTATGTGAAACCTGTGGTATCGGGCCCGTATTATGGTTCCGGAGCCCGGTACAGGTTCAATATGATTTATATGTGTTGTCGGTAAAATTTGGTAAGAAACGGACTTGAAACGACGTGAATCGGATAGCTATTGAGAAAATTGGAAATTTGAAGTCTTGAGAAAGTTTCATGATTTTGATGCTAAATTCATAGTTGTTGATGTTATTTTAGTGATTTGAATGCACGAGCGAGTCCGTATGATATTTTTAGGGTGGTGTGCATGTTTGGTTTGGAGCTCCGAGGGCTCGGGTGAGTTTTGGATAGGCCACGGGGTAAAATTTTGAACTTAAGGAATTGCAGGCCTGTAGGCTTCGCATTTCCCAACCTCCCTTCGCAATTACCAGTTCGCATTTCCCAACCTCCCTTCGCAATTCCCAGTTCGCATTTTCCAACCTCCCTTAGCAATTCACAGTTCGCATTTCCCAACCTCCCTTCGCAATTCCCATAACTGCAGCCTGCAACTTTTTATACTTAGCCGAAAAACAACCCTTTTTCACATCTTTTCAAAACAAGAACTCCCTAGGACGATTTTCCAAGAACAAATCTTCTTCCAAATCGATTGTAAGTCAATTTTTACTAGTTTCCTTCAATCATTAACACCTTTTAACATGATTTCAACTCAAAATCAATGATTTTCATGGGGGAAATTGGGTGTTTTGGGTAGAACCTAATTTTTTCAAAAAATGAGGATTTGGACCTCGATTTGAGGTCCGATTTCAAAACAAATTATATATTTGAGTTAATGGGTGAACGGGTAGTCGAATTTTGGTTCGAACCTCGGGATTTGACCATGTGGGCTCGGGGCTAATTTTTGACTTTTTGGGAAAAGCTTTAGAAAATTTATTTCCATGCATTAGAAATTATTTATTGATGTAATTAAGTAACTTGTGACTAGATATGAGCGAATTGGTGGTGGAATCACGAGGTAAAGCTATAGTTGAGGCTTGAACTGAGTTCGTGGCATCGAGGTAAGTGTTTGGTCTAACCTTAGCTTGAGGGATTAGGAGTTGTGTCCTATTTGCTACTTGTTTCTTGTTGAGTACGACGTATAGACATGGTGACGAGTATCTATACGTCGGTGTCGAGCATGACCGTGAGTCTTAAATTGAAATTATTGTGTTATTGAGAACTACTACGAATGTCAAAGTTGTTTACTCCCTGTGTTGAGCAAGGTTTATAATTATTTTCGTAGAGATTACTCATGGTTGAGCATTTGTGTTAGTTGAGGTACTAGATGTTGGAACAAGTTTGGTTATAGCCGATTTTCCCTTGCCGGGATGTGTTCATTCTTATTGTTGACTCCCTTGCCGGGATGTGGTAGTTTTTATTGATCCCTAGCCGGGACTCTTGTTATGGTTGATGTTGATTGTATATTTGGATCGGGTTGCACGCCGCAACAATGATATATTTGGACCGGGTTGCACGCCGCAACAATGATATATTTGGGTCGGGTTGCACGCCGCAACAATGATATATTTGGATCGGGTTGCACGCCGCAACAATGATATATTTGGGTCGGGTTGCACGCCGCAACAAATGATATAATTGGATCGGGTTGCACGCCGCAACAGTGATAAATGGTATGGATCGGGTTGCACGCCGCAACAATGTTGTTATATGCTGGGATCGGGTTGCGCGCCGCAATAATTGTTGATACAAAGTGTTTATGGATTGGATACAAGTTCCTTACTGTTTCGCTGTGAATTCTATGTTGTCCTTATGCCTTTATTCTTGGTTTACTGTTGATACTGATATACCCCGCAGCATGTACCCCCTCCCATCTTTACTTGTTTATTTCTATTTTATTTTCTGTTGTATATTAGATAACTGTACAGGTTTATTTGGTAGTCTGGTCCTAGCCTCGTCACTCTTCGCCGAGGTTAGGCTAGGCACTTACCAGCACATGGGGTCGGTTGTGCTGATATTACACTCTGCATTATTTTGTGCAGATCCCAGTGCTGCAGATTTCGGACCGCAGTGAGGTGTTAGCTTCTTACTTACCAGGCGACCCGAGGTAGTCCTGCAGGCGTCCGCAGTCCTTGGCGTCTCCCTCCATCTATTTTTCCTGCTTCTCTTACGTAGTTCTAGAGACAGTATTTTGTTATTTCTTTCAGACCCTTATTTGTAGTACTCTTAGACAGTCTGTGAAGTTGTGACACCAAATCTTGGGTGGTTTTGTTATGGGATGGTATTCGCAGTATTGTTAAGCTTACAATTTAATTCTTCCGCGTTTTAAATTATGTTGCTATAAACTGTTGATGCTAAGTCATTAAATAAAATAAACATGGAAGACAGGTCAAATAGTTCAGTTAGTTGGCTTGCCTAGCTTTCACTAGTAGGCGCCATCACGACTCCCGAGGGTGGGAAATCCAGGTCGTGACAAGTTGGTATCAGAGCACTAGGTTACATAGGTCTCACAATTCACAGACAAGCTTGGTAGAGTCTGAGGGATCGGTACGAAGA